TTTCTTAATGGCTAGAATAAATTGATTTTTCTTTCGGTAAAAGAATACCTGTTATGTTTTCTTATGTTTTTTAAACTCTTCTTTTGTTGCAGAAATTTTGTTTTTGTCACATTCACATACAAATGAATAGATTCCATTAATCTTTTCTTTATAATGGACATAATTTTATATGAGTATGACAGAAATTTTTTTTTTACAACAAAAACAAAAGTATCTTCCAAAACGTAAAAATGAAATGAACACGAAAATTGATAACCAATCATGTGAGACAAAGATACATTCATGGAGGATAAAAAGCAGTTTAGAAAATATTGCATGTCACTTTGATTTCGTATGAGATTTTGTAATATTTTATTTTTATAAAAAGATTTATTGTTATACGAAAATTTTATCTATATTTATAAAGTAGGGTTATATTGACAAATTTTTTTTTACAAACTTACAAACTACACAATGTTTAACCCGTAATAGTAAAGAGTGTATTACCGGTCAGACATAATATAGTTTATAAGAGTTTATAAACATAAAATTTATAAATATAACCTCCCAGAGCCCGGCAAAACGGGCTCGGCTCGGCGGGTCAACCCGCCCAACTGGGTGGGACAGGCTGAGTTTTTCAACCCATCTCAAAAGCGGGGCGGGGCGGGCTCATTTTTTGGCGGGTTGATGGCGGACATAGGCGGGCCAAGGCAGATCAGTGTAAAATAGGCTCGGGCTGACGGGCCAACCCGTTCAATCCGCCATACGGGCGGGGCGGGCTGAATTTTTCAGCCCACTTTCAAAAGCAGGACAGGACGGACTGACTCATTTTTTAGCGGATTGATGGCGGGGTGGGGCGGAGGCGGGGCGGGCCGCCCACTTTGCAACCTCTCGTATCAATAATTTTTAACTATATGCTAACAATCACCCCAAGTTATTATCGGTAAAGAGATTTATTTATAATAGTTAGTATCATCTCACATGATAATTTTATGTCAAATAACACAAGAAGATAACTCATTATATTTATTCAATTGATTGTAATTCATATAGAAACCGGAATTGGCGAGACTGTTAATCATTTATGTTGTCAGTTTAAAAATTATTTAGAATTTAATTATAAATTAACTAATTGAACAAATCATGATCTTTTTATTTTTTAGTTCAATTTTCCATTAGCTTTTAAAAGATTAATCTAGAAATAAAGCTTCAAGAATCCCAAAATAAGGAATAAGGACCCTCGAATTGAAGTTCTTTTCGGATACCAGGCAATGACCAAAAGATCCCTTAAATTAAGGAACACAAGTTCTGGGTATAAACATAATTAAATCTCCACATAAACAACGCCTAGTCCCTTCCAAACGACAAAGTGCAAACTGTAAACATCATCAAGTTGGTATATACTCAAATCAATTTAAGCATTTTTCAACTATGTGAAAGCAGCCAAATAATGATAGCTCAGTTGATGCATGGGAGTTAAGTAGGTGGGGATGAGAGCATGTGTTCGAATCTCTCCAGTACCACTTTTGGGAGGAGTTTAAAGCCTTAATCCTGGACCCGCCCCGAATCAGATTAATTGCGAAGCAATGAACCGATTGGAATATTTCAAAAAAAAAAAAAAAAACTATTTGAAAGCAAAGCTGCAACTACCAACTGATGTTTTTCCTAAACAGGAATATGCTCTGAGCATCACTATAGTAAATTAATAATAGTGCTCTGCAACTAGCCCAAGTAGGATAATTTAAAGATTAAGAGTCGTAATCTATCACTTTTAAATTTTATTTGCACTCTGTCTCCTAAAGTTATCTAATTAGTTTGAGTCCAATATTGTACAAGAAAGAAAGATTATGAAATAAAGTGGTTTGGCCAAACCATTCAACAAATTTATGCATTTTTCAAACACTCAAAGATAACTTATTATATACTTTAAAGTATTGCAAGTGATAAACTTTATTATTAAAGATTTTGATCTTGATTATGAGAAGCCTTGATAATGAAAATGGTAAAATGATCTTATGAAATGGGAGAATGGCCTCCTCTTCTATTGGTTATGTAAAGTGTAATTTTTTTTTTTTTTTTTTTTTTATCTAAACCAGTTCAATCTGATTTGAGTATTATTGGACTCATATTAAAAATGACTCTCCCAAATTTTTCCGTTTTCAAGACTCGAATTCGAAATCTTTAATTAAGAGAAATAAAATATTTACTACTTGAACCCATGATTATTGATAAAAATGTAATTTTCTATGTTGTTGTAGTTGGAACATGGGCCTTGACTACATCATGAAGAGCCAGAATTTTCTACTTTTTCCATACATTATTCGTTGAAAAAAAATAAAAATAAAAAATCAGCATTATTTTGTACTAATAGTTATCAGTGAAAGTCAGACCAGGCCACATGCACCAACTAATTCTATATGGGTTGTCAGGAATCACGAACAAGTTCTTAAAAGTCAATATGAGCCTATGGGAAAACTTAAAAGAGAAAGACATTGTATATTTTGTTTACTTGTGAATTTGTAAAGTTATTTTCAAATGTTAAAGTTCCATTCACACTGCACGAAACTAAATTAAAACATGAAAGGAAATAAAAAAAATTGAATTGCTAATTATAAAGATTTTGTTTAAGAGTTTCATGAAATAAGTATTTAAATATTTATCTCAGTTGTTCCTATAAGAGGCGGTTTAAAAAATAATTTTAAAAGTTTAGTGATTGAAAGAAATTTACAATAGTAAGAGTTTGACTGTTTGAGTATGCGAAAAGAAAGACTTTCAAGGAGGAATATTAATCTTAACACTTTAAACAATAAGAGTCTCAGATTCAAATTGTGTATAAAAAAAAAAACTCAAAAAGCTTAATCTAAGCCAAGTATCAACTCTCAATGATGATCAGGTAGGGTCTCTATCATGAAGCAAAAACTGTGATGACCACCCTCAACCAATAACATAGAAAATGATACGTATACATAATTTATTTTTTACTAACCATTTACAATTATTTTTGCAAGTTAGTGAATAATATTTTTTTTTTGTGACTTGTGAGCGCCACGTATATATATTTTTTGGTCATATAAATAGCCGTATCTTCAAAGAAGAATATACATTTCAATTTTGCCCCCTTACTAAATTTTCGAGCTCAACCATTATCTCCATTTAACCCCTTTTATTTAACAGGGCTCACTTTACCATATAGTCCTCCTTTCCTCACCAAAAACAAACCTTGTTAACCCTTCTGCATCACACTAATTCATTGCAGGGGAAAGAGACATTTCACAGAATAAGTATTTATAGATATTTTACACTAGCAGGTTATATTTATAAATTTTTTTGTTTACAAACTCTTACAAATTATACTATGTTCTCCTGGGAGAACACTGGTTTCACTATGTTCTCTTAGGAGAACATAGTGTAATTTGTAAAAAAAATTCAAAAAAGTTTGTAAACACGTTCCCTATTTTACATACCTTTTAATTTTATTTCATAGAGACAAGGTAGAGAGAAAGGGAAAAAAAATTCTAAACATGTATACGTTTTGAATTTGGGGATGTAACTCTCCTGTCGTGAAATTTTAGAGTCTCCGCTAACACAAAAATATGGTGGGACTCATATTTTTTTAAATAAAAATAAATGAAAAATGCTGTTGAATCTGTGATATGAGAAAATCACTTTTGCAGTAATAGCAGAAGTGATTTTCCCTTTGAATTTTGTGTAAAGAGTAAGTAAAATTACACTTATGTGCTGTTAGCATTACCTCTCAAAATAATATTAGAGTTATGATCTTTGTGCAAATAAAGTATCTTACAAAATCCTATCACAAATCACGATCATCCACTTTTATTTATTTATTTTTTTTTTTTTTTATGATCATGTTATTATCCCTATCTCCTCTTGTTTCAAGAGTGACCTCAATGATCTCAAGAGTGAAAACTGAAAACCCTGTTGCATTGTACTTATTAACCGTGTTTGACAAGTCTTTAGTTAGGACTCACGTGCATGGCAGAAGGGACCACCATATCCTCACGTGGTAACCTTATCACACTGGAATTCCTCTGCAAGAATATTTGCTAATTAGGACTCACAACACTCTCGTGTGCTTAGCTGATATTCATTACACAACAGATATGCTATGTATGCTAATTTTTGCATACCCTTTTTGCACTGATCTCACAGTTCCTACACATTTTTGTAGTGCCATTCCTCAGATATCACATTCATGATCTGCACTTTATCAGAAATAGGATCATGCAGGATAAAGGCCCTTTTCCTATTTTTGATTAACTATGTAAACCAAAATATTTATTATTTAAAGGATTTAATGAATCCTAAATTTGAAAATGTTATGTAACAATTTAAGTGTTTAACAAGACGGGTATTGGTAAAGCTGTTCCTTTGTGATTGAAAGGTCATTGGTTTAAATTTGTGAAATAATTTTTTTGCAAATATGCAAGAAATAAGATTGTGTATAAGAATTTCTCTCACCCCTACCCTAACTCGTCCGGAATTAACGGGGAGTGATAACAATGATGGACACGGGATAACCACAAAAAAAAAAATAATCATCTAACATTAGGCTTTCAAGAATTGTAAAAGTTTCATTACACAATCCTATTCTTACATTTTTGCAAATAGACGATTTTTCAGACTCGAACATATAAGTTACAAAAGAATAATCTTATCACTGTTCTAACACTCTTCGTTTAAATTGATAGAAATAGATCATAACAAACTAAGATCAAACTAATCTTACCAAATTAACAAACTATACTAAGATGATAACATGACATGTAAAGGAACTTGATCTGATCATTAGTTTCACATGTGGCAAAACAAGATCAAACTGAAAGTAATAAGTTGGGCCAAAGGAACTTTGGACATGGCAATCATATTTTTGTTTTAAACATAAACATTAAATAATGGGAAAAAAAATTACATATATGAGTGAGCAGGACCCAGTAATGTTCATTATCTAGCTTTATTATTTCATTGACTATTTGGTAAGATGTATATCCAAATCCTAGTTTCCAAAGGACAGCTTCATGTAAACTTCAGAATTTGCTCCTTGTTTTCTAGCAGGATATAGTTCCATTCTTTTTTCTAAGTGTTAAGTCTCAATCCACTCTTTTTTCAACTTTCAGAATCAACTACCTGTGTACAACTTTCTATCAAGTTACCATAGAAGAGATGACAAAGTTACACACATGTTATCCAAGCTCAGCATCTTCTAAGCTAGGAATTGACAGAGATTCACACGTGATATCAAAATTCAAGCCAAAGATCCGGATAATTCACATATATGCACCAGAAATCATAAAAACTGATGCTGCAAACTTCAGAGAGCTAGTTCAAAGACTCACAGGAAAGCCAGAAGAAGAAGGGGGATGTGGAAGCAAATCCAAGACTGCACTAACCAAAGATCCAAAGGATTTACACCCCAAGAAAGCCGTGGTCATGGAAGAAGATGAAGAGGGGTTTCTGAGTCAGCAAAATGGGATAAGAGTAAAGAATGAACATGAAGAGGAAGAAGTTGAAGATGATGATATATGCAAAAGATCAAAGTCAAATGAGAAGTTCAGTGGTTTCTTTGATGGATTCTCAGAGTTGGATGGTTTTATGGAAGAGTTAAGTTCTATGCCTTTGGTTAATCAAAATTAAGGCCTGTTTTTTATGTGTTGTTATGTGTCTGTCTCATTGATGTGTGCATATTTATAACAAAAATTGACCATAGAAGACGTAATGCTTCCCCAATGTAGATTGAGTATTGACAATTGCCTTGCTTCCGATACAGTACATGTTTATTGATTTCAACGGGCCCTTGTGATGCTGAAGGATTATAGTGAGCATTTATGAACATTACTTGCCTTAATACTTTGATCTTTGTATAGTAGTTGTCTTGTTGCATATCTTTCTCTTGTTAATGATTGCTCTCTAGGTTTTCACATGATATCAAGCAATTGCAAAGTTTAGTACAATCATCTACTCTTTTTTTCGAGGGCGAGCCTTGAGCAGTGATAAAGCTTTCTCACCCCGACCTAAAGCCGGCTCTTTTTTTTTTCCTTCTCATCATTCCCTAAAGAGAAGAAGGGCTATTTAACAACCATTCAAAGATCAAATAACTCCATTTGTGAACAATTTTATAATCCTATTCAAGCTTTGATAACATTTGAGCAATCAACAACAGTATCCTTGTCACATATACAGCATTAAAATAGACCTGACTCAGTTGTTTATCTCCATGAAGACTTTTCAAGAGTGATGAGCTTTAGAACAATTGGGGGTATGTTCAAACATATAGCATTACGCTTTGCAACCTTAAGGAAGATTATTATGGAGAGTGAATTGAGTTAACGAATAGGGCATGCTTATTATGGATGAAAAGGGAATTGTTAAGGAAAAACAGATAAAAAATAAAAATAAAATCATGGTTAGTTTGTTAGAGAGCACAAATGATGTAATGAAAACTGAGAAGCCACCATTTGTAATTCATTATTCAAGACTTATATTCATTGCTTCTCATTTTCATCTTCTTGTGTTCCTCAAACAAAACCTTGAGGTTATTATTAAGAACATATAACCAAATGATGTTAGTTCAATTGATGCATGAGAACTGAGCAGATGGAGGTGAGAGCATGTATTCGATCCTTCCTAGTACCATCTTTGGGAGGAATTTAAAGTCTTAATCCTAAACCCACCCCGAACAAGATTGCCTTCCGTGGAGGATACCCGTGGCTTATCCATAAGAAAATAAATAAATAATGTTTAGCTCACCTAAACATGTGATCAACCTTTGAGTCAATCAGTTTAAATAGTTCATGCAATTATTCTTGCATTTTCTTGTTCACGTGTGGTTTTGAATAATATTGTTATAGGAAGTTGCAGAATTCTTTCGTTGTTTTTGTTCATAGCTTTTTGAGGTGTAGATATAATGCCTAATCTGTACTAATAATAAGTCTGTCTAACCCATTGTCATGTGTTTGTTTTATGTTTTTCCGGTCCAATGTTATCTTCATAATGCAAAAGACGGGCATTTGAATAAGTGATCCTATATATAGGTTTATTGATTACCTGATTAATGTCGTTCGAGTGTTGAACTTAATATAAGGGTAGCTTTCCCAAATACTATTAACAAAGCAGGGGCCGGTAATCTAGCATTATCTAAATACTATTAACAAAAAGGACAAATAACTTTATTACAAAAAAAAAAAAAAAAAGGAACAAATAACTCTAAAGTCCCTTTCCATTATGCTTCTTTCTCATGTTTTCCAGGAATGAAGTACTTGTAAGAGGTTAAAAAACGCTGTATTCTTTAAACCATTAAGTGTGATGGCTTTGTAATACAAGTATATTTACACTTAATCCATATATGTTTGCAATACCAAAATAATGTTTATGCATAATTATACATCAAAGGTAACTTTTATTATCAATACTATTCAAAGAGTACAAATAACTTTAGTGTAAACTCACTTCTCAATAAAATAAAAATAATGTAATGATAATAACAAACATGCATTAGGATAATAATGATTTGTCCAAAGGTCCAGATCCCTAGTATAAATCTAATATTTACTTTAATACTAGTTTAGTTTCAACTCATCATCTAACTGCTATTCCGGAATGAATCGGATACCATGACAATTTGGCTTTTGTAGCTTTCTTTTATGGGTTTATCATCTATCATTTAACATGACCACAAAAAGTTTTCTACACACACAACATTTTGTGGGGCCCGCAGCAAAAAAAAAAAAAAAAACTTCGGCACGCAAAACGAATCTCTATAACATAACACAATCACTTTTTCTACAACATAACTCTTATAAAACCCTTCTTTTATTCAAGGTAATGTCAATGTTGACCTTGGAAATAAAAAAATAGCATTAGCTTGTAAAGTTTTCTAATCTTTTATTCAAGATGATGACAGCGTTGACTTTGGATGTAAAAAAGTCAGCGCCTAAACCAGCTTATATAGAATAATTCAGAAAAGGGGGCAAAAGATAACATTGACTCGAGATCTAAATCTAATTCAATGAGCATCACAAGATAAATGGTAATGCAAAAGTGTGTTTCTTTCAATCTTCTATATATCAAACGTATAACAAAAATCAAAAAGCATTTTCTCATTAGATGGGTTGGATGAATTAAACCATAACACTAATGTGTTTTGTATAAAACCATATAGGCTTACTTTTCTCTCTCGTTAATAGGAAAATATTTAGAGTGCTACCGATATATCAAATATTCGGTACATCTTTTATCAAATATAATAAAACTCATTTATATTACCATTATTTTTATGATTATTTCTTCCTATATCTCTTTTTTCTTTTTCTTTTTTGATAAAAGAATACCTACTCCCATTGCATCGGAAATATACTCCATTAACATGCTATTCTCCCTTCTTTTTGAGGCGGCTTCTATTAATCTTCTTTTCACATTCCAAAAACATTGCAAGCACGATTCTATTATCTTTTTCTCAATAGAAGTCACTCCAATTTTCTCTTTAATTCTTTAATCCATTCATTATTGATCTGATATTTTATTAATAATCACTCATCCAATGCAACGCTATCATCTCTATAACACTTATATACGAAAAGTATAAATTTATATTAACTTAAATGGTGTGATCCAACGCTGGCCAAGATATTAAACACCCAAAACACAAAATATAATCCTTCCTTCCTTCCTCAGTTCCTCGTAAAAGGCATACCAAACTCAAAATTCCATTTTGGTAAGTTTGCCATAAAAGAAATAAATACAATAGCCACCCTAAAATTTTAAGCTGGCCTTGTAAATAAACTACCAATGACGAAAGATTAACACATGATCTGAAAATCTAAGCCAAATTTGCATTATTCACTAGCATGCCCATCAATCGACTTTGATCCTTGACCCTTTGATATTTGCTAAAAGTTGACACCAACATTTAACAAAATATATGCTAAGATACATTTAACAAAATTGTATCACTCCATATGGAGTGAGATTGACCATTAATGAAGATCTCAGCCAATACTCAATTCAAACTGCTTTTGGCTGGGGATGCTCGTTGCGTGGTATAGAAGCAAATTTTTAACATTATATGATATCTGAAATCAGAGAGACAAATCATTCTGTACCTCAGTAAATTGTATAATGACCCTCACAGTTATTATGGATTTAATATTGAAGGATAATTATAAAGAAAAAGAAATAAAGTCACCTTTGGTGAAAAAATGAGTTAAAATGACAGTCAAGGGGTAAAAATGCAGATAAACAAAGTTATTTGAAAAGTGAAAGTAAAGTTAGAAATATGACTGGAAAAATATTCTAGTCCATTGGGTAAAGTTTGGTAAAGAATAGAGGTGATTAGATAGATAAACTCTTACCCAGTTAAATTTCACTTAACCTATGTAAGTCAAATTTCACTAAAACGCTCGTATTCTTCTTCTCCACGCGACGACGATGCAGAGAGTAAAGAGGGAAGGGGAGAAAAAAAAAGAGAAAAGCTTGTGGGAGCTTCAATCCTTGATAACTTGAGTTAGGATTGATGAAATCAATCCATTCCAAAGCCTAAAGTGTGTCAAATTTCATCCTCTACAAAACCCATAAGATTGTTCACCATGGGAAGCTCTTGGGAAGGAGATTTCAGCCCTCTAAATCGCAGGTACTGTTCATGCGAAATTAAAGAGAGTGTATTTTAACGTTTTCAAGCTTTGAGATGGAAGCTTAGATGCCTAGGAGATCATTTAAGGCATGAAACTTGAATTTGGTTGATTAAAATTCAAGATGCTATTTAGGTTTTTCTTGATGTTTTATGGTTTCATGGAGGTTTTGTAAATGATGTATGAATGTGTATGTTGTTGTAGAAGTTGTTCATTGAGCCTTGTTGTTGGTAATAGTTGAAAAATCATTGAGAAAATGGATGGCCTATCTCTAATGTATAATTCAGCCTATGTACAATAAAATAGGTAGACCAAGTGTTTAATGAAATGCCAAAGTGAAAATAATACCTTGTATGTAATCATTGATAAGTGGTGTGAAATAGGATTGGTAAAAGTGGTGAAAGTTAAAGAAAAAGACATGGTTCCTATATATATGTATTCTAGTCAAGAGGAAAAATAATGAGGAATATCATGCTTTAATATGTTTGAATGTGTGTTTATGTGTCTTGAGGTTGGTTAATAATTATCTACTTAATTGGAGTTGTGTAGTGAGAAATAAAGGAAAGAAAAGCATGAAAAGATAATAAATACTTATGAGTGCAAATCTGCCCTCATCATGAAATAAGTACAAATGAGGTATTTAGTGATATTTAAATAAGAGATGATGATGGATATTCGATGTAGTGATGAAGGGAATGGTTACTAACAAAAGATAGCTTGAGAAAATGTCATGAACACACCTATATGTCGTTTTCAATCCTTAAAGAAGTAAATGGGTTGGAATTGTATTGGACTTGGAATTATGACTTGTAAGTTATGTTGAGGACATGATAAGTATATGTAAAGTGAGAAATGTTCACTAAGAGTTAGTGGTTTTATGCTAACTAGCTTTGGGGTCCTATATGTAAGTTTGAAAAGAATTGGTTATGACTAGTGTATTGGCATAGGATTGGCAAAAACGTAAAGAAACGAAAATAAACGATAAAATGTATGCCTTATGTAAAATCTAGGCATGATAGCATTTTATTGATTTGTATTTTTGTATTCTTTCTCTAGGTGTACCTAGGGACTGAAAAAGATCGGAACCTTCTTGAAGATATATAACTAACTTCTGCCACAAGTAAGCGGATTGAAAAAGCTTCAAGAGGTAAGCTCTATGTTTATGGGGTTCGCTCCTACTTTGTGTTCCGCCATAGTGTACGGACTGTGGTCAGGTTGTATGATATGTATGAGATATATGATATAGATGCATTCATATAGAGCTATATGATAATATGATATGTTTTGTTTTGATGTACTTACTTTGATATGTGTTAATATGATATGTTTTGTTATGATATGACTTATGTAATATGATTTCTGAAACAATATCTGGCCATTGATTGTATAGTACCCGGATGTTCGCTTTGGGGTCCTCCCTCGGGAACACGTGCGTTGATTTCCGCTTGGGGTCCTCCCTTGCTGCGTACGCCTCTGATATGTTCTGGTTCCGCTTTGGGGTCCTCCCTCGGGAACACGTGCGTTGATTTCCGCTTGGGGTCCTCCCTTGGGAATGACTGCGTACGCCTCTGATATGTTCTGGTTCCGCTTTGGGGTCCTCCGTCGGGAACGCGTGCGTTGATTTCCGCTTGGGGTCCTCCCTTGGGAATAACTGCGTACGCCTCTGATATGTTCTGGTTCCGCTTTGGGGTCCTCCCTCGGGAACACGTGTGATGATTTCCGCTTGGGGTCCTCCCTTGGGAATAACTGCGTACGTTTCTGATAAGATATGTGTATATGTTTTGTTTAGTTATGATATTTGATTATATGACATGTTTTATGGGATATGTATGATGATTTTGTAAATGATATTTGTTACGTACGTTGATTTCCGCTTGGGGTCATCCCTTGGGAACGATTGCGTACGTCTCTGATATAACACGTTTTGTTCTGATGTGAGTATTGTGATGATTTTTGTAAAAGATATTTGTTACGCGCGTTGATTTTCGCTTGGGGTCATCCCTTGGGAATGACTGCGTTTGTCTTTGATAAGATATGTATATATGCTTTGTTCAGTTATGATAATTGCTTATATGATGTTTTGTATATTATGTATCTGACTGTCATGCAGGAAGTGAGCCCAGGGTATGGAGGGTTTTCCATAAACCTGGAGTTTACTAGGGATTCGTCTCTAACCCCGTTTGGGGATATGATTTCAGGAACACAGTTAATTGAAGAGCCTCATGGGACCAGGACACTAACCGTGGCTAGAGGCATTAGTATGAGGATGTGGAGTTCTGGGTGGTCGGATGCTACTATTTGTTTTAGACGTATTTTTGGAAAAGATGTATTGTTGCATAGTGTTCATATTCGATACATGTACATTTATGTATTCAGGCATGATGATATGACTATGTAGTATTCAGTTATGTTATGTATTGGATTGCATGCTATTAGATTTGTGGCACGGAGCCAAGTTCAGCATGCGCCCATAGATGGGTATCTGAGTATATTTGCATGACTGGTACTTCTGGAAATATATATTGTTTAAACTGTCTATCAGGAACTCTTGAGAGTGGGATTGGAAAATCCCCAGTTGTCCGATTTACAGAGGTTACTCTGTCCGATTTTCGTCTCCGTAAAATAAGAATTAAATTAGAAGAAGTATGCAATGTGATATGTCATGTGAAAAAGGATTAAAGAAAAAGAAAAAGTTAGTTCGTATTTTCGTAAGTTAAGTCTTCCGCTGTTTCTGTTTGTATCATATGTATGTTAATTGAACCGGTTCGAGACGAGGATGTTACAAATTGTATAACCAATCATCTATGAGATTGAATGCATATATATATATATATATATATATATATATATATATATATATATATATATATATAAGCAAAATAATTTGTAATGTGACTGCATATAAGTATTGGTGCAGTCACCTAAAACTACGTCGTTTTGAGTGAGAAAGAGAAAGTCCGCTTTCAAAATTAATTGTCAAAAAAGGAAACATTATATTTATTTCCATCTTATGGTTATGATTCCGCATATTTAATGTTTTACATTTATTTCTACCTTTGTACGGTTACGATTCTCCAAATTTAATGTTTTCACACTACAAAACGACGTAGTTTTATACGACTGCACCAATCCTTAGGTGCAGTCACTGTACATTCGCTAAACCCATATATATATATATGGCAAAATGATTTCTGCAGCTGCTGTACCTACAGCAAGCAAGGATCCGCATCCGAATCCTAGGATACGACAACGGATCCTGAGTTTTTTTTTTTTTTTTTTAAAAAAGCCGTGGGGCCCACTTTTCTGTGTCAGCTGTAGGTGTTATCTACAGCTGCTGCAGAAATGTTAAGCCCTATATATATATATATATATATATATATATATATATATATTTTCACATACACTAGGGATAAGGGTAATCCTGCACGTAACCTTACCCTTATACATTTGCAAAGAGCATTTTACTCTAAAGAGGAAAAAAGAAAGAAAGAAAAAACCAACCAGACCTTATCCACCAATATGTATCATAGGCCTATTTGCTGTCTTTGCTATGTCAAACATACCAGCATGTGATGCTTTCTTTCTCTTCACCTAGACAAAAGAAAAGCCAACATTTAACATAAAAGACCCCACAGAATATATTAACTAAAGTTAGGCATACAAGTTCAAGTAGCATGTGACCCACTATTGAATATTTTGCTACACAGCCATATAGAACGAAATGGCATATCTTATAGGGAAGAACTGGACAAACTAGGCTAAAATAGCATGTGAACAGAATCGTATTCTTATATGATCATATTAAAGAGGACAACAAATCCTGGCAGAGAATTTAAAAAAATTACTAAATCATCATAATGAAATTCTGAATCTTAGCAATAATAACAAGAAATTCATACCGCTGCCCCTATTATCTCCCTAAGCTCATGATCCTCTGCACCATGTCGCAAGGGATCCCTTAAGCTAACCTGCAAGACAATGAGCCCATGTAAGAACATGACAGAAATCTTTTGCTGAAGCTACACATGAAAGATGCTATCTGTATTTAATGTCAGCACATTATTAGCCTCAACATAATAATAGCATACATAACATCAATAACCACTAGCATGTCTTGTAAAAGCAGAATGCTTTGAGATGCACTTAACTTTTAGTACAAATCCAACCCCCCCCCCCCCCCCCAAAAAAAAAAAATAAATAAAAAAATAAAAAATAAGATAAAGGAGCTGAATCTCAAGTGTAAGCATTGATGAAATAAACAACATGCACAAGGCAATATTTATACGATTAAGAACCCAAAAGATGGATGATACATCTAAAAAATTATTGTAAGGCATCAGCTAATGGAATATCAAAGGAAATAGCATATGCACTAGAATGAGGGTGAAAAAAAGGAGCAAGAAATTGAGGATTCAAACTGAAAATTTGAACACCCGTACTTCAAGACTTAAAGTAACAAATATCTAATTGCTTGAGCCTGTTTGACACCTCTCTCTTTTAAGTTAAAAGCTACTTTTAAGCTAAAGTTAAAAAAAAGAACTTAAAAAATAAAGTTAAAAGATGTTTGGTGATTGTATAAAGTTGTTATCATGATTTTGAAGGAGGGAATATAAAATAATTTATTATTAGGGTAAATTAAAAAATTTATAAATACAAGTTTAGAATAAGAGTAAAACTGCAAAATAAATGAGTCAAAAAAGCTGACATACATCTTAAAAAAAGCTCCTTTTGGGAGCTTTTAGCTTTTAGCTTTGTTCTCCATTATGAAAAAAAAGCTCTTTTTATAATAAGAGCTTTTATAAAAACCTGTTTAGCTTAACTTCTGCTTATAAGGAGAAGAGAAGCTAAAAAAAAAAATTCCAAACAGGCACTTAATAGATCTTCCTCTAGAGCAGGTCAATGCAATGAATATATTTTCCTGATTATTTCTGACCAAAATTTTTACACCACCAAACTCAATAGTCACCTAAAGTCATACAGAATTTGTAGTTCGTTCACAGAGCACTCATCATATGTTACACTAAATGGTAAATCAGAATATAATAGGAAGCAAAACAAGCATCACTTTATTTTACAGAGGGGTAAATCTAGAGTTAAAACATACCAAAGAAATAACCAAACATTCTCAATTTATGGCTTAAAAATGAGAATTAGTTCATCTACTTGCAGCACAATGAAAGGATTGGACAAGTTCTCATAGAGCCACGTTATTGATATTTTTAAAGATCGAGTCCAAATGTGTATCAAGTATTCCTTTTCCTAACAAACTTCAAGATAGACTGAGTGCATCCACTTTCAGCAGGGTATTTTAGACTTCTTAATTTGCAAATGAATTTCTGAAATTTACGTATGTCCATTAAGAGTTTATCAGATAGTTTCCCCTTTTTTCCCAAAATTGAGAATACATCATATCAAGAATTCAGGACTGACAGTAGAAATCACAGGTTCAAAGTTCTAATTAGATGCTTCCCAATCTTTCTCCCTTTATTCTTTAAAGCCACTGATCACTTATAGAAAACAACTCCCAGAACTATACCCAACAATGGCAACAGCTAACTGAAAGGAGTCTTCTACGCCCTTTTCAAAATCTTAGTATGCTGAAGGTTCGCAATAGCATTAGTACCAATTTTACTCACCAAAAACACTTATAGGCCTTAAAAACCAATTCCTTAAAACAAGGTCCTTTGTCCACATGAACATATGATCTAACTATCCAATTCATTTAATCATTTTGATGTAGAAAGCCTGCCATTATCATCATCAACTTTAACCTCAGATTCAGCAAAAACCTTAAGTATTCAAAATATATCTAACATCACAGATTCAAGCAAATTTAAGTGACATGCATAATATACGGAATTTTCACGGTTAGAATATAACTTACCTCGGAAGGACCAAATAAACAGACTTTTAAGTTTCCATCTGCTAGTAGTCGCAATCTATTGCAACCAGCACAAAAATGCTCAGTCATTGATGTGATAAATGAAACTCTACCTTCATGCCCATCTATTGTAAAATTCTTGGCTGTATCTGTTGGGTGATCCTTAACTCTTTTTAAGCTTGAAAACTGTTTCACCTGTTTGGGGATGATGGTTATAAAGGGTTTCTACTATAAGAAAACAAAAAACTCTATATAAGTGAGGTTTCTATTCTGAATTCTACCTTACCACTGTATCCAACATCTCTGAGTAGGGTACAAGTTTCTTGACGTTCCAAACATTTCCATCAAAAGGCATGAACTCTATAAACCGAATATTAATTGGCTTTTCCCGTGTCAACTCAACAAAGTCACAGATTTCATCCTCATTGAATCCACGCATGACAACACAATTGACCTGCAATGCAACAAAAACATACAAGACACCTTAAAATGCATCCATCAGTGACATGTGAAATTTACCATAGAGGTTATGAACCCTTATTCAAGAAAAATCCCCATGCTATACAATTCATTTGAATAACTTAATGAATTTGGCAAAAGGAAAGCTACTAATGGGGAGGTGATCAAAGAGAAAAATGTGCAAAAAGCAAAGATATAAGAACAAAAAATACCTTGACTGGATTATATCCAAGGTCTATGGCAGCATTAATTGAATCCATAACCTTTTCATGCCCTTTGCGTCTCGTCATAAGCTCAAACTTTGCTGGCACCAGAGTGTCTAAACTAATGTTCACAGAAGTAAGCCCACATTCTTTCAGCTTTGGAAGTTTTCTTGCCAGGGCAATACCATTGGTAGTCATGGACAATGTCCTCAGTCCCTTCGATTTTGACAACTCCAAACATATCTCTTCAATATCCTTCCTCACAGTTGGCTCCCCACCAGTTAAACGTATTTTATTCACCCCAGAACTCACAAACAGATTTGCCAATCTTAGAATCTCGGCCTTTGTTAAAAGCTGAGGGCTAGGACTGAGTTCCACACCATCTGCAGGCATACAATACTGACACCTTAAATTGCACCTCTCTGTTAAGGATATTCTCAAGTAAGTGTGCAGCCTTCCAAATGAATCTACTAACATATCAGAGATAGAATTATCTTTTGGCTGATCTTCAGACAAAGAAGCACAAGATGTTGCACAAGTTCTTGTGGCATATTCATTCAAGTTGCCACTGAATAAAGCTTGATTCTTAGTATTTCTGGAAGCACAGCAGGATCCCTCACAATTCATCTGCTTTAGGAAAATTTGTGTCACCAGCCAATCACATTTTCATTAACAAAATTTGAACATATGTCAACCCCTCCACACCCGAGATTATTACACACGGGTAAGGCTCCCCGATTTGTGAGGGTAGAGGTGAAGGTCGATTGTACATGGCCTTACCCTTACATTTTTGCAACAAGACTGTTTCTCATACTCAAACTCATCACTTTCGGGTCATGAGGAGCAACTTTACTTGTTGCTCCAAGGCTAGCCCTCACGAGATCTAGCCAATGATTAACTAATATTCTTAGACACAATCCCAGGACTAAAACTAATAATTTTCACCTAGATGCAAATGGGTATTAATATAATCAACCCTTCAAGTTAGCATATCATATAAAAAAAAACTCAATTGATGTTACAATGGCACAACTAAATAAAAGATTTTCACAAGTTCTTGATAGGACTAATGAATTCCAAGTGTCTAACATTGTTGTTCATATATATAAACATGTCCAAAGAGGCCAATTTTCAATCCATTAAAGTACAGCTTGATCAGTCACATCACCAAAAGAATAATCCAAAACAAATTCACAGAGAGAGAGAGAGAGAGAGAGAGAGAAAGCTCGCACCAGCCAGAAATTTGATGATGAGTTGAACCGAATAGGCCAATGAATGAATTTTGATAAGTTGCGCCTCATCCTTGATGCTAAAACAATCAATATAGAAATATTGAATCACTTGTATGTTTTTCTGGGACACACTTGAAGATGTTATAATAACCAAAGACTCAAAATATATACAGAGAGAGAGAGAGAGATGTCGCGGTATCTGTTCTGACGTCTGAGGATAACAGGTGACAGGCAGTGAGACAAAGCACCTGCAAGTGCCGCCTCCATCTATCTATCAATATAATAGGAAAATGTAAGTATTATGTTAATGATATTAAAAATAAAAAAATTCTACTCAGTTATTTTTTAAAAATTGTCAGAGAAAATAATAATAATATTATAACCATATATATTCTTTTAATTATAAGGGAATAACATGATATAAATTACATAATATTCGACGGATCCAATATAAGTGTGTTTTCGTATAAGTTTTTTGAAAAACAATATGGTTAATTATTGTTTTAATTTAAAAAGTTAGTTTTTTTTCATTTAAATTCTTTTGAAAAATTGTTTTTTTCAAGTTTTTTTTTTGTTTTCCTAAAAATTTATTTAATTATCACAAAACTTTTGAAATAATTTAAAAGATTTTTTTTAAAGTAATTTAAGAGGCGATCCATGAGCATTATTAAAGAATATACCGCTAAAAAGACATATACTCCTCCCTGCCATTCTCTTTGACAAGAAAGAGTTTTATTGTCAGAAAATGATCTAAAGTTGCAAAATGGATGAGCTTTTATATATATATATATATATATATTGTAATAACCAAGTTATGTTATTATTATGTTACTATCAATCAATTTTACTATTAGATCGATTATGTTGATCCAACGGTTATACTTATTTTCATCTTTGTATGGTCATGATTTTCCAAATTTAATACTTTATATTTATTTTCACCTTTGTATGGTTACGATTTTTCATATTTAATGTTTTCACTTTAAATATGAGGAATCATAACCTTACAAAGATAGAAATAAATATAATTGTTGGATTAACATAATCAATCTAACGGTGAGATTGATTAGTAGTAACACAACTTGGTTGTTACAATATCATTTCCTATAAAATTATCTCGATAAGTCCTATATATATATATATATTGGGAAAACATTTCCCTGGCAATTATATATATATATATTGGGAAAACATTTCTCTGGCAACTTGAGATAAATTTATCTCTGTAACAGCCTGTTGTACACCGGTATTGTTAACATTAATTATGATATTAAACGCAGTTACAATCACAGCAATTCATTTATAAAAATGTGAATAAACTTTTTCCGATTATTACGCGAGCCTTTAAAACATAAAAAACGTAATAATTAAAAGCTGTGACTGTAACCGTAAACTCTTGCGGAAGACTTATTTAAACTATTTTTATAACTTACTTTACTTATTATAAGTTACTAAGGGGTTCCCATAAATCCACTTAGCCAATTTCTCAACTTTACGTTTTTACCTTTCCGAACATGGTTCACTAATTAATTTTCTGCGAACTCACCGCTCATAATCAGACCATCCTTTCGAGTTATATTTTTTTCTTACTTAATTCACTTTCTAAGAAGCTATCACACGCTTTAATCGGAGCTCGTTTACTCCGGCTATCGTCGTTTGAAGTTGGATAAGCAAAACAGCCAACCAACCCCAAAACAGCTCAAAACCTCTCTCACTCCACGAATTACTGCAGCAAATTCACTCATCCAATTGCTCTCAAATTTTTATTCTACAAACTAGACACCTCAACCTTCAATTTGATATATCATACGCTTAATTTTACTGAGAAACGAAGCGGGAATCAATTTCTCAAAAACTACCAGAAACAGCCCCTGCATAAGGGGGTTCTGGACAGTCCGTGTTCAATAAATCCTACAGGGCTGCGTACAACCCATAATTTTCTCATATTTTAACACCACGTAGAAAACATCTCAAGCTTTAAAATGGCATATGGTACGTCCCTATCGGACCTCTGCGGAGGGAGATATGTTCTCCCGAAGTTCACCTAAAATCTTCCAATTCTACAGAAAATTCGCCAGAGTTTCCTTTGTTTTTCCTTAAATCCCCAAATTTACATAAGCTTGCTAATACCACAATATACCTAATAATCCAATGGGTGGCACACACAAGGACCAGCAATGCCTTGGGGCACTTACAACCCAATTCAGTTTACATTTATTACATAGTTTATACTATAATGCTCACTTTAAAATCCTTAACTTGTTTCAATCACAAGGATCCATTTGCATGCCATTTCTCAACATAAGTATATAATCATCATCCTACAATAGGCCTAAAGCCCTTCCATCATATTACATCAATATTCATGCATACTTACAACATCTCATTTAAATATAACAACGTACATATTCATAACTTGAATTTACAACTTGAAATATGAACTTGAATTTACAACTTTAAACATAACTTCGAATGACATAACAACTAACTAGACTTAGGCAAAATATATATCATAAATTGGTGAGAGGCAGTTATTTGGGCCTGATATGGTCCAAGAGACTACCAATCAAATTATGATGATTAAGGATCGATTGAAGAAAGCACAGAGCCGCCAAAAGAGTTATTGTGATGCAAAACACTGACCCCTTGAATTTTCTGAAGGGGATCATGTATTTATCCGTTTGTCTCCGACTACGGGTGTTGGGCGTGCTCTAGGAGTGAGGAAGTTGAGTCCTAGGTTCATTGGGCCCTACCAGATTATAAAGAGGGTCGGACCTGTGGCATACCAGCTTGCCTTACCTCCACATCTGTCAAATCTGTATAGTGTTTTTCACATCAGCCAACTTCGAAAATACGTGCCGGATGCGTCCCACATTGTTCAACGGGACGATATTGAAGTAAGGAAAGACTTGAAATTTGTTGTGGGACCGTTGAAGGTTCTAGCTCGTGATGAAAAAGTGTTGAGAAACAGGACTATCCCCATGATCAAGGTGCAATGGGAAGGATTGACTCCTGAGGACGCTACTTGGGAGCGGGAGAATGAAATTCTCCAGCAGTACCCTGAGTTTGACGTCAGGTATATGTTTTATTTGATATTGTGGGCAAAATCCTTAAAAGGTGGGGTGAATATAATGACCCTAACTGGTAAATCTTAGTTAAAAATTTAATTTAAGGATTTAAATGCCATAATTAGATTCAGTGAGGGATTTCGAGTATTTTGACTGTAATCATGACTAGGTTATGAACAGTGCGTTCTTTCGAAGAATTCGCAGTCTTGTGAATTAACCGGTAGAGCTTAAATAAGCAAAATGATTTTTGAGACATAATTTGACAATTCTGACTCCATATATGAGTTCAGAATGAAAAATTGTATAGTCTGGCACTTTCTGTGAAAATATCGTGAATAGTGTTTCTACCGGGTATTTTGTACCGCTGTTTAAGCAACCGGTAGAGTCCAGAAACAAATAATTGATGAAGTAAGAATAAGAAAGTCCAATATATGCCAAGCAAGTCAATATAGGCCCAAGAAAATGATAAGTTTATAAGTGTTAAGTTTTAGAATTAAATAAAGTACAGTTAGTGGTTCACAGTGCATTTCGTTAAAAACGATGCAAAAACCATACTGTGAATTATAAATATTGTTCCTTAGAAAATAAAAATTAATGTAAATGATTTTAGAAAAATAAAAATATGTTTGTAGCTTTAAGTTGGTTCCGGGTCAGTTTAAGTTAAAATACGCGAAAGAAAAATACTCGGGTAAAAGCCACATGTGCTTATAAAACATAAGTGACCTAAGTAATCACTATTCACATCAGCATCTATCTCCTCTCCTCACTCTCAAAACCGAGTTGCACTTTGGAGAAGGGGGGGGGGTAGGGTTTTGAATTTTGTTTTCTTGATTCTCCATCATCTATACTCCAAATTCAAAGACCCACCACATGAAATTGCTTGTAAACCACCCAATGAAGCCATTCCACCCATCAATTTGAGCTGTTGTTGAGTGTGTGAAGAGTTATTCTCTCCCCCAAATTCGAGCTACTATGCATCAAAAGGGAGAAATGGAGTTTTTCATGGAGTTTTGCTTAGTGGATGTCCTCTAGGCTTTGGGTAGTTGACTAGAGGTAACAAAACTCTAACCCTATGATTTTAGTCTTGTGGTTTATGTTTTGAAAATTATGACTATGATTGAGTGGAAATAAAGTAGCTAAAATTGGAAATTTTATGAAGTATTATGGAGGTTTTAGGATATAGGCATGTTAACTAAGCTTTTGTATAAGAATAAAAATTGGAAAAAAATCCATGGAGTGGACCCTTTAGCATTCGGCCTTCATGCATGGAGGGTGTAGGGGTTATTGTGCAAAAATTATATTAAGTATTGTGAAGGTGTAATGTGTTGGAAATGAGTGAAAATAGATGAGTTAGTAAGAATGCCTATTAAAAAGAAAACACTAAGGGTCATACCCCCTACATGTCGGCCTTGATGGGTTGAAAAGGACTTGATGTCTAAACTTAAATTGGAACCTTGTGGATACATGCATAGGTGTGTGCAAGTTGTAATGTAAGTGAAGAAAATGTATTGTAAAAGAGAAAGATCTTTGGAAATTCCCCTAATAGGATTCGACCTATAGGGTATTTAGGGATATATTTTGTACATTTTATTTTAAATAAAATGTGTTGTAATAAATTGTATAAAAGTGATGAGTTTTGAAGAAAAATAGCATGATTTATATTGAAAATTCCTAAGCGAATGGTTGATTAAATTAAAGAACACCAACGGTTATAAAGAGGTCTAGACTTGTGTATTGGCATAGGATTGGCAAAAATGCAAAGAAATGAAAATAAGCGATAAAATGTATGCTTTGTGAAAGGATCATGGCATAGTATCATTTTATTGATTTTATTGTAAATTCTTCTCTAGGTGTGCCTAGGGATTGAAAAGGAGTGGAATTCTATTGAAGCAATATAAATAATTTGTGCAACAAGTAAGGGTATTGGTAAAGCTTCAAGAGGTAAGCTCTATGTTTAAGGAGTCTTTTCCTACTTGATTGCTCCACCATAGTTAGTGAACTGTGGTTGGATTGTATGACTGTTTTGATGCTTTGTATAGATGCATTCATATAGAGCTATTCGATAACATGATATGTTTTGTTCTGATATGACTTCTGTAAGATGATTTCTGTAATAATATCTGGCCATTGATTGTATAGTACCCTGATGTCCGCTT